CCCGTGAGCCATGGCTGCTGAGCCTGCGCGTCCGGAGCCTGTGCTCCGCAACGGGAGAGGTCACAACAGTGAGAGGCCCGCGTAACGCAAAAAAAAAAAAAAAAAAAAAAAAAAGCTTTACTGAATTTTCCTACTCTGAATGAGGTACTGTGGGAGATTCAAAGAATATCTGAAATGATGCCTGCTCTCAACTCACTTATGATCTGATTGAAAACTTGACATCAGGGGAGAAATATATACATATATATAATCATATGTGCTAAACACCCAGTGAATAGTACAGACAGTTAAATGTACGGGAATTCAGAGGAAGGAGGCTGCTTTTCAACTGTGCTGGCCTGGAAATGTTCTATAGAGTTGGATTTGAATATAATACTTTATTATGGTCTCTTGAACAGGAAAGAACAATAAAAAAAAAAGGTCCTCCTGTAGTGATTATGATATATCCCAAGTATTTATGGAAGGGCTGCCCTTCCATAATAGGCATTTGGTAAATGCTCACACAGTGAATGAATATGTAAATTCATATTTGGAATCAATGTCTTAAACTAAATATAGCATTTCTGCTCTCATAATTGTACTTCCTCCTGTCGTCCACATCTCCCACTAAAGACGTTACCATTTACCCTGAAGCACAGGGTCATCTCTTCCCCCCTCTTCTCCTTTCTTCCCTCTTCTTTTTACAGGCAATTTCCTCTAATATCTTTTTATCAGTCTCCTCTCTATTCCCAGTACTACCACTTTTGTTCTGCCCTAGATTGCTGCTTCCTTAAACCTTTCTTACCTGGCTTTTGGCCTCTCTGTCCACTCTCCAAGTACTGGCAGATTAATCTTCCTAAAATCTAACTTTGATCATGTGCTTTCCCTGCTACAAAACTTTTTGCCTCTTGAATAAAGTCTGTATTCCTTAGTGAGGCATTTTGTACACTCTGCTCACTGATTTCACCCTAGCTTTCCAGTTTTATCTCCCCTCCTACTTCTTTACACGCAGTCTTTGCTCCAGTCAACAGATAACTTGATAACTCATGACTCTGCCTTTGTTCACACTGTCCCTGAAACCTGAGGGGACCACATCATCTCTGTCTATATTTTGACCACTCTCACAGACCTGGCTCAAATACCACCCTTGCCATGAAGCTTTGATTAATCCCCCTTAGCTACCAGGAACTAAAATTTCCTCTAAATTCTCATCACAATTTTTTATGCTCATAGTACTTAGCCAACCTGGCTTGCATTACAGCTATTTGTGTTCCTATCGTAGCCTCCCTATTTTGCTATAAATCCTTGAACATGCAAATTATAAACATATGTAAACAATATAACAATATTAACAGTACAATATAATAGTATGAACAGTATAATAATATAAACAATAGAATATGATAACAATATTCATTTTGATACTCCCCATAATATCTAGCATATTTCCTGTGTGCTTATTCAAATAAAGTTTTGAAACACAGACTAGGGCCCAAATGAATAGTATATTCGTTTTTATACCACTGTTGAGTTTTCAAAAGCAATTTTTAGTATCTAGTTCCAGTTTTCACTTCTCTCCAAAGAAAGTGAGGGCATCAAGGAAGAGAAATATCACTCTAAATAATTCTGCTTCCCACATTTCCCAGGCCTTTAGTTATAGGCAAATTACTTAACCATCCTGTAGTACCATTTCCTTACATAAAAAATGGAGATAATAGTGTAAACTCCATCAAATTGTCATAGGAATTAAATGAGATCATATTGACAGTGTACTTAGAACAGAGTACATGCTCAGCAAGTGTTAGCTGCTATAATTATTTTACCAGACTTTAAACTTTTGACCCTGATATATCTACTGTTTGAAATACTAATCTGATAACTCTGCATAGAGCCTAAAACTTCGAACATTTTCCTATTAGTGCTATTCACCATCTTACTCATAGTATTAGGGAATTTTTGTTCAGTTTGCCAGCTGATAAGACAACCAAAGTTCTTTTTTTCTTATTTCACCAAATCCAGTATGTTAATACCAAGATTCATCAAAGCGCTGGTTTGGCATGGTGATGGATGGTTATTATTCATTTTATAAAATGTTAATTGCCTACATGAAATACTTTACTACTGACTCCTTTAAATGGAAATCTCCACTTAGGGGCTTAAAATATAATTAAGCTTGCATAAATTTGACTTACGTACATTTTCATGAACATATTTTACTGATTGGGAGACAAGAAACTGCCTTTCTAGTTGCTCTTTATCCTTAACTTTGTGGTCTTGAACAAGACACTTCTCTGCAGTTCAGTTTTCAAATCTGTAAAATGAAGAGATTCAACTGAGGTTTAAGATCTTGCTTAACTCCTAAGCCTGTAATTCTGGCATAAAACTCTGGGACATTAACACCACGGGCAGGGTGATGGGTTCAGGTTGACAAGAATAACCACTCACAGCTGCTGTTTTCTACTTAAAGCAACAACCAAACTATGAGTTTCTTGAGGGCAGGGACCACATATTATTCTTTGAATTCCCTACAGTTTTTAACCAATACTTTTGAGTTGGTGCTCATAAAGCATTGAATTAATTAATCATTAATGCCTATGAAAGTCAATATCATATACTCTAGGGCCAGATTATGCCAGGGTCTGCAGTTCCAGCTGTGTCACCAACTGGGTGACATTGGTCAAGTTACTTAATCTCTCTATGCCTAAATTCATGTGGAAAGTGGGGATAATGATAGTACCTACCTCATGATATTGCTGTGAAGATTAAATGAGTTAGTATTAATAAGGTCCTCAGAATAATGCCTAACACATAGTAAACTCTATAATTATTATGGTTACTCTCTGCATGTTTGATCTTGCACCTTAAAAGCAGATGAATGTGTACAAATGGAATATATTTTATTTATCTTATAGATGTATCATGGAAGATTGAGATTTTTTTTTTTTTTTTTTTGCGGTACGCGGGCCTCTCACTGTTGTGGCCTCTCCCGCTGCGGAGCACAAGCTCTGGACACGCAAGCCCAGCGGCCGTGGCTCACGGGCTCAGCCGCTCCACGTCATGTGGGATCCTCCCGGACCGGGGCACGAACCCGTGTCCCCTGCAGCGGCGGCAGGCGGATTCTCAACCACTGCGCCACCAGGGAAGCCCTGAGATTTTTATGTAGGAAAATTTGTCTAATTTGGATGGGGATGAAGTTATTCAAGCTATTTATTTATTGTTTAAGAATGAGAGGCATAAAGCAGGCTAACTAATTGCTTGAGTTCATACCAACCATTTGTCCAACAATAATCAGTATCAAGGCTGCAAAGAACAAAAGGCTTTATTTGAAGTCTTAAGAATTGCAATTCAGGAGACACAGATTTGGGACTTCCCTTGTAGTCCAGTGGTTAAGACTCCACACTGAAGGGGGCCTGGGTTCAACCCCTGGTCAGGAAATAAGATCCCACATGCCATGTAACACGGCCCCCCAAAAAAAAAATTATTTTAAAATTAAAAAAAAAAAGAGAGAGAGAGACAGGAGACACAGATTCGGGTAAAACTGAAAGAGTATTGCAGGGGAGAGAAAGGAGCTTATGCAGGCAAAAGCCACAAGATTGTTCAAGAATTATGACTGACCCTGATTCAAGAAAGGAAATATTTGTCCTTAAGGCTCTCATGAGTTATTTTAGGGTAAGGGTCCAATAAATATCTTGAGTTTCTGGAACATTGGGTAGATGTTCTGGATGCATGTGTTAAGATAATAAGTGGTCAAAAGTTTCATTTGGTCTGAGACATGCATAAGTCACACTTTCTCGATGGCCTCCTGGCTCCATTTTAGAGAGCTCTCTTAGCAATACCAACTCCATTTTGATTTTCCTTTCACACATTTTACACAGCCATGATTGGTTAGACAAAAGATCCAGAGGTAGAGGGATAATCCATTTAAAAAAAAATAAACTTTCATTCCAACCTTTAATAGAGATGATTCTATGATACATTTTTTTCCAGAACTAAAAACTCTATCTGTAATTCCAACCTATGTTATGTCAAAACGTGAAATCTTGTTGGGTATCCTGAAGATTCCACCCAAAAGGAACCTGCATTTTGTGTTTATAAATTTTTGTCTTTTTTTTTTTTTTTTTTTTTTTTGCGGTACGCGGGCCTCTCACTGCTGTGGCCTCTCCCGTTGCGGAGCACAGGGCTCCGGACGCGCAGGCTCAGCGGCCATGGCTCACGGGCCCAGCCGTTCCGTGCGCGGCATGTGGGATCTTCCTGGACCGGGGCACGACCCCGTGTCCCCTGCATCGGCAGGCAGACTCTCAACCACTGCGCCACCAGGGAAGACCAAATTTTTGTCATTTTTAATCAAAGTCCACTAAATAATTAACTATTAATTAAGAAGGTCTTGGTATGTGGAATCTGTATTTTTTTTTTACTGAAAGGAGTTGCCATTTAAAAGAAGTCAGCTCCAGAGACTAAATCAAGTTAGCAAGATACCCAAGATTGCCGGGGAAGAAATCACCATGAAGGGTGCTCTTTATTATGCAAATACAAGGCACCTATCACTCATGTAGGTGATGACCAGAGCACTCTGTGGCTTGACAAAGGCCATCCTTCCCAGAACCCCTCCACGAATAGTCAGGTGTCTGGGGAGGTGTCAGGGGCATTGGATCTTGCCTGTCTTCCATTTTGAGGTTTAGCATAATTGGAATCTCTGTCATGGATTCAAGTCTGCTGGTAGGAAAGGATATCAAAGGCCCCCAAGAGGGAACTCCCCATTAGGGAGGTCTGGAACAGTGATCTGGTCACCACGCCAGGGAGCAGATTTTGTCCTGGTATAGTGTGTGGCTAAGGCTGGAACCTGACCCCTCCGTAACCCCAAACCACCTTGGCACAGCAGACAGTCTTCGGGGTTGGGAACACCGGCTGCAGATGTGACTATAGCTTTAAAAATTGCTCTTTTGGGAAGCCAAGATCAATGCACCAGGTACCAAGGTCTCTGCAGCCATCTGAATCACTCACAGCACTGGACAAAAATCTTTTGGATTGTGTGGGACCAGTTTGCAACACTGCCAAAACGAGATCGGAGCGCTAGACCTCCCTGTGTACTAGAGGATTCTTCATTTTACTTTCAGTCAGGCATTTGAAAGCAGAACAACCTCCTTGGACTGAAAAATCCCTGAGTTACTTGAGGACAACTGTAAAGTAGCAGCTGAGGCTCCTAGAAAAAGATTGTACTTCTTGCTCATTAGAGGTAGGAAGCTTGAGATGGTTTTAATTTGAAGGAATGAGATATTCTATCTATCTTCTCTTCGATTACACCGATTTTAGCAGCTTTGTTTATTTAAACGAGGCTTAAAGAGGACTCAAATGACATTTCTGCAAATGCCTGGAAAATTTTATTTGGTTAAAAACCAACACTTGTCACCACAGAGTTGGCAAGATTTTTATTTTAAGATGACTGACAATGAAGAACCAAAAAGCTAATTTCTAAAGTTTTTTAATTTTTTTTTTTAATCAAGAAAACAAAACATCATTTGCTAGACAAATTGAGGTGTTCAAATCAGATACATAGAAGGAGACAAAGTTCTGGCTCTTTGTGAGGTTTGAGAATTGGTCCCAGACTTCATGTCATTCATCTTTGAGAACTCTCATTTGCAACACATTGGTGACAATATCCTGTCTTCAGATAAAGCTAAGAGAAGCAATCACTGAGAATGCAAGGAGCCAAATAACCTGCTTCCCTGATCCTGTTGTGGCTAGGACATCTTTTACCTGTGCACTGCCTTTTGCATTAGTAAGACTATATGATGCCAGGCCTGTAATTTCAAGAAGTGGAACTATTTTTTTTTTTTTTTGGCGGTACGCGGGCCTCTCACTGCTGTGGCCTCTCCCGTTGCGGGGCACAGACTCCGGACGCGCAGGCTCAGCGGCCATGGCCCACGGGCCCAGCCGCTCCGCGGCATGTGGGATCCTCCCGGACCGGGGCACGAACCCGTGTCCCCTGCATCGGCAGGCGGACTCTCAACCACTGCGCCACCAGAAGCCCGAAGCGAAACTATTTTAAGGACCATAGACTAGTCCTTGTATTTCAGGTGATGCAAGCTTATCATACTATGTATTCCCTAAATATGGACTTTGGAGTCAGTGTGTTCTACTCTTTGCTCTTGCTGTGTGACTTGAGGATAAATAACTTCCCCTGAGCCTCAGTTTCCTCGTCCATATAATGAAGCTGATCATATCTTCTCATGGAACTGTTGCAACCTTTAAGTAAAATAATGCATATGAAAAGAAAAGTGCCTGAAGCATGGTAAGTCCTCACTACATGGTTACCAAATGAATTATTGAGAATAGGGGCAGTTGGTTCTGGCCAATAAATGTCTGTCTGTCTACCTATCATAGGTTTACTATAGTGTATACTGTTGGGGAGGAAGAAAACTTTCCTCTAGGAAACCTTCTAAGTTCTTCTGGCTGGTCTAAGAATTAAATTGACATGAGACAGATTTAACAGGAGAAAACCAAATTTAATTTTATACATATGAGAATCCCACACACATAAAGGGGCCAGAGACCCCACATGCATGAGAGGCTCAGAGGCAGAAAAGTAAAATGAGGACTACATGCCATCCTGAGCTAAGGAATGAGATGGGGGCCTGGGGCTTCCAAGGATGATAAGAAGAAAAGCAGATGTTTGGTAATTAGATATTTGCCCTACCATATAGATGGGGCCCTTTAGATAAAGCATATCTCCAGTAATAACTCTTTTCTAAGAAAAATTTCCAGTTTAAATTCTTCTAGGTAGTTAACGGAGGGAGAGTATTTTCTCTTGCACTCACCAGATCTCAGTTGCCTTTAGCTCAAAATAATCCTCATGGAAAAATGGAACATTTGGGGGACGCTCCGTTATGAACCCCTACAATATGTATATAGTGTAGGTTTACCCAGCATAGTTTTAACAAATAAAAGTTGCAAAGCTAGAGTCGTATCTCCAGTTTGTGTTTTGCCAAAAGAGTAGTATGGAATAAAAGTCTGGGACAAAGAAAGGGAAACAGGAAAACTGGAAGGAATGGAAGACATAAGGGATGGGCAAAATAGAGGAAAGGAATTTTTTTGAAATTACAGAAGAATGTACAGGCAGGAGAAAAAGTCAGAAGAACCACAGACGAAAAAGAAGAGGTCAGATCTGGAAGGACTAGGCAGAGGGGTAAGCAAGCACCAGCGGAGCTTGGGGCTGGGGTTGGGGCAGGAAGTTGGGGGCTGGAAAGCTGTGCTCCGTTGTGGGGGGGGGGCCAGAAGAAGCCTAACCCCGTGGGCGGGGGTGCGGGGCGGGACTTCCTGTCGGAGGCGTTACCAGCCTGACCCTCCTCTCTCTCCGGAAGAGGCCAGAGTTGGATCCGGCTGGTATCCTAGCGAGCCTCAAACCCTTCACACCGAGGTGAGACCTTCCTTCCTGCGATCCCGCACCAGCCCTTGGGCGGGGTCGTCGGGCGCTGCGGACGCGGGCGGCTCTCCGGAGTGGTTTGGAGTGGGTGGGCTCGGTCAGCGGTGCGGGGTGGCGCCCAGTGACAGAGGCCGCAGTTGGGGCGCCTTCACCCCTGCGGTTTTGTCCTGAGCCACGGCCGAGTGACACCAGGAACGGTCCCTGCGTGTGTAGCGGTTTCGCCCCCGGGATCTCGCTGAACCTTTGCGTCAGCTTGTGTAGAATAGTTCCCTCTTTTTAATTTTACCGATTCCAAAGAAGCTCAGAGATACCTGGCATACGTCCAGGGGCGTGTAGTCCCGGTATAAGCCCCTGATCCCGTGCTGTCCGCAGTCTCGCTGCTGGGGACAGGTGGCAGGAAGGTGGCATGGCTCCCACCGCAGGGAAGGTGGTAACCAGGACAGAAAAAGTTGAAAATGTTTCACGTGTTTGTCTTTGAGAAAGTGAAGGTGAGCAAAATGTGTCCCTTTTTGAGATATACTCAAAACTGGTTGGAAAGATAAGGCATGCACACAAATGACCGAAATGTAAGGAAAACATTCCTGAGTGCCCTAAGAGTGATATACAAAGTTTTATGGGGTCTTCCAGGCTTGGGTGTCCTCCTCTGAGCTTCTCATGACATGTACTCTCCTAAGGAATGTCATTCAGACTCAGGACTCAGTTGTTGCCTACTCAGGTGACTTGCATATTTATATCTGCAGGCCATATGTCTCCTCTGAGGTCAGGATCCATACAGTCAGCTGCCTAATTGACATCTTTTGGTTTCACAAAGGTTCCTCATCCTTTACTCATTAAACTTTTGTTCTCCCCACCTCCTACCCAGATCCCAAATTTGATTGCTCCGTGTTTCAGTAAATGTCACCATTATCCATTCAGTTGCCATCATTAAACTCTTCCTCTCCCTCATACTCCATATCCAATCTATTGCTAAGTGCCCTCAGCTTTACCTCCCAAAGCAAATATCCCCACTGTCTACTCTTCCCTCCACCCTCTAATCCATTCTGTTCAGCAGCCACGATGTGTAGTGATTCCTCATGGCTCTCAAATCAAAATCTTACCTCTAAGGCCTCGCTGGGGATGAGCCCTACTATCCCCCGGCCTCACCCCTCCCCCATTTCTCTTGATCTCTGAGCTGTCACACTTAGGCCTTTCAGTTGCTCTTCACATACCAGGAGTCCTGCAGTTGAGTTAGTTAATACCTATTCTCTTGTCCGTCAAATCTTGGTTGAACCATGTTCTTAGGGAAACCGTATCTGGTACCTAAGACCAGTTCAGAGTTCCCCTGTTACATGCTTCTCATTGCACTTCTGCTTAGCCTTTATTACATTTGTGATGTTGCATGTGGTCTGTGATTTTTTTTTTTTGGATTAATATCTGACTACCCACTAGAGAGTAAGTGTGAACTCTGCCTGTTTTTCCTCACTGTGATGCATTGCACAGCATATAATAGATATTCAGCACATAGCTCTTGAATGGTTAAACAGATGATGACTTCTGGGTGGAGAATCCCTAGAAGAAAGGGTAGCTTTTGAAGTGAGCCTGGAAAAATTGGTAGGAGAGATCAGTGCTGTTAGTACAGGGAGATATGAATGGCTTAAGCAAAGTTTCTGGCTAGAAAGCAGATTCATAGTGAGAACATCTAGTTCTGTTTAAGCCTAGAAGAAAGAAATGGGAGTAAGTAAGAATGAAAAAAAAAAAAGTTTGGAAACAATTCTTGAAGTGCTCTAAGCAGTTACTCCTATAACTCAAAAAGTGGCTTCCTTTTAAAATTATTTAAATGCTCATATCAAGAAGAAGAAGCAACTAGCAGAAACAGCTCAGAGTATCTGTCCTTTGTCCTCCCTTCCCTTCCCCTCCCTCTCTTCCCCTCCCCATTCCTATACTGTGAGCACCATGATTGGGATTTCCGACCAGTCTTCAAGGTGAAACTCTGTGTAAGTTATTCTCAAATATAAGGATGACAAAATTAGGGTTGTTTTATAAATGATCCACATTTTTCTGAGTCTGACAGCTTGAAAAGCTTCACTGTCCTGGGTACAGGTTTTAGAGTGTGGTCAAGCCAGTGGTGAGTTAGTTTAGTCTTCTCTTCAGAAGTCAGTGGAAAGCTGGACAGTTCAGAAGACAAAAATGTGTTGTTTTTTTTCCTCTCTGAAACTTGGGGAAATTCCTTTTTTACTTTATTGTTATTTTTTTAGTCCTGGAATTTTCTTTCCTCAGAATGTTATGATAGAAAGAGCAGTGGACTTTAAATTCAGAATTGAGTTCGAATTCTGACTGGGTCATCTGTCTAATAAAACCTTGGGCAAATTATTTATAATCACTGAGCTTTAAGTCCTTCATCTTTACAACCTCATTAAAAATAAATTTGCATGTATAAAGTACTGAACTACCTGACATTCAATTAGTACATGTGGCTTCTGCCCCTTCCCTTCAAAGCTGCTTTAATTTCTGTCTGTGGTTAGTGGAATGCACGGATGCCAAAACTGCAGATACTGAAAACTGTCTGTGTTCCCTGTGTTCTTTCTCTAATTTTCACTTTATTCTTAACCCAAACATGCACCTGTCTTTTAAGATATTTCTTGTGTCCTTTCTTCTCCATTCCCTAGACCAATGCTGTTTTTTAAAATGTCGTATGGTATGGGCACTTTGGGAGACACTTTTATAGAATACTTTTTGTTATGAAAATGTTTCTACAATAGAAGTGAAGTAATTTAGATAAAAAGTGTTTCTTAATGGCCCTGTGAGTGAATACTGAAAATACTGAATCAGGTAGAGGGTGAATCCCGAATAAAAGTATTTTGCAAATTGAGGTGTTTTTGTGAACTAACTATTCTATGATTAAGGTTTTTAGAGATTTGTAACTGCTCTATCTTTGTATGTGTTAAATCTGTTCAGAAGATGGCTGATCCTTGGCAGGAAT